ATAGGTGTTCCTGGCTCATCTGATACTCCCTGGACCTTCTTGGAAGGCTTCCAGGTATTTAATTAAGACTTCATTCAGGCAGTCATTTTCTAATTGAAAAATGTTGAGCCAATCTAGGTGAATCTCTCATAACCAACTTTGCCCCAAGAAGCTTGGGCCCGAGCCTTTTACTGTAATCAGTGGCAACTGAACCAGCTGCTTTTCATAACAGACCGGAACCGAAGTTATACCCTTAATCTGCAAAGGTTACCCTGTATAGATTCTCAACCTATCCAAGGTCTTGTGCAAATTTAAGGGCTGGAGTCCAGAGCAAATTTTGTTAAAAACTTGTTCTGGGATCACTGATGTGGCTGTGCTGGTATCAACCTCTATTAAAACTGGATGACCATTTAATCAGCAATTTATTTTGTTTGATTCTGATTTTGATATTACTAAGCAACTTAACTGTTCCAAGCCAGATGTCAATGGCCTTTCTAGGGTATGAACTCTCCTGTCTACCACCATATGAGTTATCGTACTCAATTTAGATCTAGTAGACGTCTTTAGCTGTGTCAAGTCTGCATACAGGCAGCAACTATAATGGGTTGCCAACCAGGATCCTGAAAAAAAATTTTTACTGTTTGACTGAAGCTTGGCTTTGTTTTGGTGTTTTGCTGTGGGCCCTCTGATCAGGATATGACCGGAGTGAGACTATGCAGTTGCTTGCACAGAAGTGGTGTTCCCCAAGCTCAGTCAGATTGGCAAGGGTATCCACTTCCTTTGGAATACCTTGCAACTCATATGCTCAACTTGCTGCATTTCCCAATGATAAAGCCAACTGAGCTTCTGCTAGTAGTGTCTTGGATCACAGGGTGAATCCAAGCTGTTCTTTTGGATTTGGTTAAATATATTTAAGAGAAAACTCGACAACAGCAATTTGCTTAAATGTGGGTGTTTATTAAGTAATAATGAGTTTTAAAAAATGGAAAAGAAAGGAAAAACAAACAATAAGTGTCATGCCCTTCTGCCTGTCGGGGACTCCTCGACTGACAGCTGCTCTGGAGGCTTAGGTTCATTCCTGGCACTGTTTGCGATCCCGGTCCAAGGTGAAGTCCAGTTCTTGGAACGAAACTGTCTTTGTCTTATACAGTGTAACATACAACTAGCACAGAAAAAGCAGATACGGAAGACAAAACCGCTTGCTAGTGCAGAAAACAAGTTTTTAATTGTGTTGTCTGCGGCACGTACGGGAAAGTTCACAGGACTCATTCAAGGTCATGCAGCTGTCGAATATCATCAACAATTTTAGCCCTTCAGCCCATCCTGTACAATCCACCCCTGACAATATTTGACAGTGCATGTTACAATTGCAAATGCAGACACAAATCAGTGACAGCCATGGAAGAATGTATAGTAAGATTATGTAACCTACATCAGAAAATTAAAATTACAATGAAAATAACTGTCATAAATACGAATAATATAACAACAGGGTGTATCATCAAATTAATGACCACAGTGGCCTTTTTGGTGAGATTAGGTATAGCAGTTGCCAACTGATGAATCATCCACAGCAGCCTCCATTTGTAATAAATTTGCATGTTTCTGTGAAGAAATCATATCTTATCAGTTTACAATCTTTGACAACTCACTCTCTTTTCATTAATTTCCCTCCACCTATACACTCTGGTGCTTCCTGGCCCATTATCAATATCCAATAGGTATCACCTTGTCCGTGGGCAAATATCTCACCAAGCTTAGGCAGGTGGGTGATGTACCCACATGTTTCCCCCTGTACAAAGGTCGTCTGATGTTGTACATTTATTGGGAGAATGGAACTAGCCACCTTCTCATGATACTCATGGGTGTCCCTCCTCTTAGACACCGATTGTTCAGATTATATAATGCCTGTGGCAGCACTTTGGGCCACCTCTGTAGCATATGATTAGATAAATAATTTAATTTGTTGCTTTAATAGCCCATTCATTTGTTCTACAAGACCAGTTGCTTGAGGGTAGTAAGGAATGTCTAATGTATCCCATTGTCTGCAGCCCGTTGCTGCACCTTTTGACCTGTTAAGTGTGAGCCATGATCTGATTGTATTTCTGATGGTTTACGATAGTAGGATATCAACTGTTCTAGGCCCTTAATAGTGTTACTGTGATTGGCTTTGGTTGCCTGGAATGCTAACATTAACCCAGAGGAAGCATCTACAATGGTTAATAGATATTGATAGTGTTGTTATAACAGTAAGGGGCCAACAGAAGTCAATATGCCAGATTTGAGCAGGTTTATCTCCTTGCTTGATTTGTGCCATTGCCTTTTCTGGCAGCAATACGTATTTTACCTTTTGACATATTTCACACCTGCCAATGACTTCTTTTACCAGTCGGTGGGTATGTGCAAACCATGATCTCTTGCCCATTGCACAGTGCTGTGATACCCTAAGTGTCCTGATTTTTCATGAGCCCATTTTCCAGTGTGATACTCTTTGGATGCATCTTCAACCTTTCTGGCTTTTACTATTCCACCCATGGTATTGTTGTGATCAGTGGATTGCGAACCATCCCTCATATGGGCATCAACAAGGGACACAGTGATTTTCATGTGCTGTGCCCTTGCCCATATTTGTTTCCATAGTTCTGTTCCCCACAGGGGCTTTCCAGCAATCTTCCAGTCATGTGACTGCCAGGTCAGCATCCATACAGCCATTCTATTGGCCACCGCCCTTGAGTCAGTTTACATGTGCAGACACTGACTCTCTTCTTCCAGCACTAGGACCACAGCTGCCAATTCAGCATATTGGCTTGATCCCCTATCTCCTTCACTATTGATAATCATCTATGTGGAGGGATTAAATGCAGCTGCTCACCACTGCCTTCGGCCATTCTTCCAGGTGGCTGATCCAGCATTGAACCAAGCACAGTGATGAGTATCTTCAGGCAGTTGTTCGAACAGAACGCTCCATTGAATGGGAGATGCAGGTATGGTCTGGTCATGACTTGGAGTTTGTTCACCTGGTGGGTATTCAGCTATTTTTCATGGAGTTTGGCAACCCCTTCTTGGCTCTATCAGCTATATACCATTTCCATTTTACAATGGAACTTTGTTGGGCTTTACCAACCTTGTGGGTCACAACGTCAGGTAACACCCACATCAGAATTGGTAACTCAGGTCTGAGGAGCACTTTGTCCTCACCAGTCTGCCCTTCTGTAGCAGGCCAGAAGTTGCTTTTCAGATGGTGTGTAACGCGTAGCTGCCTCGGTCAGTTTTCTGGACCAGAAGCCCAAAGGTATTGCTTTCCCCTTTTCTCTCTGCCATAAGCTCCATGTTGCTACGTCTTGTACTACTGATACTTGAAATTCAAAGGGTAAGCCAGCTATCCGAGGAACCAGGGAAGTACTATTGCTACGGCCTCTTTAGTGGCCATAAATGCTTTCTGTTGTTCATCACCCCATTTGAACTGAGCTTTCTTTCAAGTAACGGCATATAAAGGTCTTAGTAATGTGGTCAAGTGAGATATATGTCTGCACCAATATCCAAGCAGACCTATAAATTTCTGTTCATTCCTGGCACCGTTCGCGATCCCGGTCCAAGGCGAAGTCCAATTCTTGGAATGAAACTCTCTTATACAGTGTAACAAACAACCAGTGCGGAGAAAGCAAATACAGAAGACAAAACTGCTTGTTAGTACAGAGAACAAGTTTTTAATTGTGCTGTCTGCAGCACATACGGGAATGCTCATAGGACACGTTCAAGATCATGCAGCTGTCGAATATCAACAGTTTTAGCCCATCCTACACACACAGTTCCATAATTAATCTCACATATCAAATGGGCTCTCAGCATCTCATTAAGGGTTAAACCAAAGTTACAGGTTTCTGCTGGTTATCTTAATCTAGTCAAAAATCCCAACATGGATTCCCCTGGTTCTCAAATTGCAGAGTAAAAATGATAGAATCTCAAAATTAGAGGAGGCTTGGAGTTGTAATATGCCTTAACTATGTCTGTCAATTCTTGAAAGGTTTAGTAAATGTGCCTTGGAAAATTAGGCTCCTAATAACAGAAAAAGCTGTGGTTCCACAGGTTGTCAGGAAAATTACTTGTTGTTTTCCATCTCCCACAATGTCGTTTGCCCAGAAAAAATAATGCATTCTTTTAATATATACTGGGCCCAGTCCTTGACGACAGGGTCAAATAAGTCAAGCTTCCTAAATAAAGGCATGATGTAAGAAATGCTTATCCTGTCACCAAGTCACCCTTTATATTGCATATGAACAGTCCTTAACTCTAGTACTGTCTCATTCAGAGTCAGCTGTCAGAATGGCAGTATCTCTGACATTCCCCTTTATATCTGTCAGCCAGGGCTCCCTGATCGGACCAGATTAGCAGCCTCAATCAGAAAACTTGTATTCAATGAGGTTCAGCTGGCTAACCTTTATTCAGTCACTACAAGATCATAAGACATAGGAACAGAAGTCTGATCCACCATTCAATAAGATCATGATTGATGTGAGATTCCTCAATTCCACTTTTCTGACACCTCTCATTCTTATAAATTTCAATGAGCACAAGTTCAACCTACTCAACTTCTTCTCGAAAGAAAATCTCCCCATGCCTGAAACAACTTAGTGAAGCTTTTCTGGACTGCCTCCAATGCCAGTATATTCTTTTCCCAAATATCTTGATCACCTCACTGATTTTTGGGCCCATTACCTAAGGAAGGATGTGCCGGCCTGGGAGGTTAACAGGAATGATCCCAGAGATGAAGTGCTTGACGTATGAGGAGCAGTTGAGGACTGTGGGTCTGTACTCACTGGAGTTTAGAAGGATGAGGTGGGATTTTATTGAAACTTACAGAATCCTGAGAGACTGGATAGAATGGACATGGAGAAAATGATTCCACTAGTAGGAGAGACTAGGGCCCAAGGGCACAGCCTCAGAGTGAAGGGATAACACTTTAGAATTCAGAAAGGAAGGAATTTCTTCAGCTAGAGGGTGGTTAATCTATGGAACTCATTGGCGCAGAGGGATGTGGAGACCAAGTCATTGAGTGTATTAAGAAAGAAATAGATAGATTCTTGATAAATAATGGGATCAACGGTTAGGGGGAGAAAGGAAGAGAAATGGTTGAGAAATGTATCAGCCATGATCAAATGGTGGAGCTGACTTGATGGGCCAAAGGGTCTAATTCTGCTCTTGTATCTTATGGTCTTATGGTTAAAAATCCATCTATTTCAGCCTTGAATATGCATAATGGTAATACTCAGCCCTCTGCAGTAAAGAATTCCACAGAGTCACTACTGTCTGAGAGAAAGAAACCCACTTCATCTCTGTCTTAAATGGGTGAGCTGTTACTCTAAGATGATGCCCTCTGATCCCAGACTTTCCCACAGGGGAAAACAACCTTTCTGAAACTACCCTGTCAAGCCCCTTAAGAAACTTGTATCTGTCAATAAAATCCCTTTTCAACTTATGAACTTCAATGAGCACAAGTCCAACCCATTCAATTTCTCTTTGAAAGAAAATCCCTCTGTGCCTGGAACAACGTGGTGAACCTTTTCTGGACTGTCTCCAATTGCAGTGTATCCTTTAGATAAGGGGCCTAAAACTGTTCACACTTTTCTAGGTTCTGTCTAACTATGTCCTTGTATAGTTTTAGCAAGACTCCCTATTTTTATATTCCATTTCCTTTGAAATAAAAGCCCGAATTCCATTTGCTTCCCATATCATCTGCTGAACTTTTTGTGCTGTCTTTATATGCTTTATGCACAAGGACTTCCAAATCCATCTATGCTGCAATTTTGTCCGTGTTTCTCCATTTAAATAATATTCAGTTCTTCTGTTCTTCCTGCCAAAATGCATAACTTTTAACATAGCTTCACCTTTCGCCACATTATATTCCATCTGCCAAGGTTTTACCCTCTCACTTTGCCCACATCCTAGAGGACATTGCTGCTAGACTGGGTCGGCAGCAATTTATGGGAAAACTAACAAAAGACAAAAGTATGCTGCAGATACATCTGTCTATGACAATTTGAACAGATCTAGCAACGCAAGATTGAGCATTCATGTGGGACATCATCAGCAATAGAATCGTACTTTAGTACAATCTGCAAACTCATGGCCCAGTATATCTCCCAAGCAACCATTACCATCAAGCTAGGGCATCAGACTTGGCTCAAAGGAGAGTGCAGGAGGGCATGCCAGGAGCAGCACCTGGCATATCTGAAAATGCGGTATCAACCTGGTGAAGCTACAAAACAGGACTATTTGCATGCCAAACAGCATAAGCAGCAAGTGATAGACTGAGCTAAGTGATCCCACAACCAATGGATAAGATCTAAGCTCTACAGTTCTGCTACATGTAGTCGTGAATGGTGTTGGTCAAAAATCTCATTGGTGGAGGTGACTTATGCTGATTGTGATACAAGTAGTTCTGTTTGGTTTCTTCACCAGGTTGACACCTCATTTTCATGCATGCCTGGTGCTGCCCCTGGCATGCCCCCTGACTTCATCCTGATTTTATGCACTGATTGCATTAAATTCTGAGGGCATTTTGGTAATTTTATAAAAATACATTAGTCCGGTAATGACAGTAATAGAAGGTAAACAAAGGGAAAGTTAACAAAGACAAATTTGCTGGAAAAGCTCAGCAGGTCTGGCAGCACCTGTGAAGGAAAAAACAGAGTTAACGTTTCGGGTCCGGTGACCCTTCCTCAGAACGAAAGTGATCCGTTTCTCCGTTCTGATGGTCACCAGACCCGAAACGTTAACTTTGTTTTTTCCTTCACAGATGCTGCCAGACCTGCTGTGCTTTTCCAGCAAATTTGTTTTTGTTCCTGATTTACGGTATCCGCAGTTCTTTCGGTTTTTAAAGGGAAAGTTAATATTTCTACTGAACTGAAGTCTAATAATTCCACTCAAAGACCTAAAAGCATTTGCATTTCACTCCAAATCTTGACATGTGACATATTGATAATGATTCTTTGTCACCAAAGATTTTCAGATCATTTTGGTTTCAGCCACTCTCATCTCTACGTAATGCAAATCTGCTGCTATAGAGATGGGGAGGGATAAGGCCAAGAAAGAATTTAAATTCTGATGCAGCTCATGCAAAATGAGATTGACAGTTGAGCAAGATTTGGTATGGGTAGGATTTATCAAACTTTGTGCACAGCAGATCCTACAAAGAGCAATAGGAGTAATAAACAGTGAATCTGTTTCTAGTGATGACTGTTAAAAGAAGCGTCTTGACCAAGAACTTGAGATAACTCCCTGTTCTTCAAATAGTTATATTGAATCTTTAATATTTACACTCACCACTGGGACTGTGAGATCATTCAACATCTCATCTAAATAACATCATGACCGGCACTCCCTCCGCACTGAGATTGAGCATTAGCTTAAATGATGAGCTCAAATTCCTTATATGAATGAATGTTAAATTACTTCCTTTACCACATCATATACTCAGCAGGTGCAACCAACAGAAAACAGCAGGCCATGTCTGTAATAATAAATTACAAAAAAAAATCCTAACAGCGGGACATAATTAAAAGCCAGTATTTGTTTTCTGGAGAATGCAATGGCTAAATTAACCATGTAGTGTGGTACTGACCAAACTGTGCCAGAGTCTGCATTTGATTTAACTAATCATAGCTGTACCAGTGATTATGGATGCACCAGCCTTCTGTTGGGGGTGAAGAAAATGGCTACGACACCTCGTTGTCCATTGATCCTTGTTGAAAGTAAAGCCAGTGTTAGGTTGTATGCAAATACCCTATGTCAAGTAGCCTAACACATGGACATTTGTGCATGATATCAGAGAGATTCCAATTTCTATATGTATATATGTAGCCAGGAATGTCCCTTAAGAGTGAAGAAAAAGAAACAGGGGAATTGAGAAATTTAACATGAAGATACAGAAATGATGTTAGTAATAGCAAACAAATTGCTGCTGTGTGTGGCTGACATGATGGTGTTAATCTTCCAATTTCCATTTTGAAGGATTTTAAAGTTCACTTTCTTATGTATAATCTCTGTTGATGCTTCATGTGTTGCATAGGAACCCGCTGAGCTGAAGTTATCAGGGGAGTTGCCTGGAATTTTGGCAGAGCATGCACAACCAGCTAATAAGAAAATATTCCCAACATGGGAAAAGTTCTTAGAGATGTTCCTCTGTCAAGGTATGAAATTTTTTCTTCTGTCTGCACATTGACTTATTGCGATGTTATTCTGTTACGATCATAACTTCTTCAAAGATTATTAGCATCTGGAGATCTACAAAGAATCTGTCCGAATATTATGAGTCAAATAGTTCCTTCTCAACCTAAAATTACTATTATGGAGAGCTACTATAATGTTTTACAAAAGAAATAACTTTCATTCATAAAGTAACTTTCACAGATAGAGTATGTACTATGTAACCTTACAGCCATTGAACTACCTTTGAAATGTAGTCACCGTTGTAATTTAGAAATTGCAGTCATCAATTGTGCACAGCAAGCTCCCACAATCAGTTCAAAGTGAAATATGAGGAATGCTGGAAATCTGACAGCACACCTTCTCAAGGACAATGAATTCCGGCTTTGCCAGTGTTTCCTGTGAATGAATTTTTTAAAAAACCAGCCCAACCATGGTAGTGGTCTATTTGTTGATGCCAATTCCTCCCCATTCCCCTTGCTCAGTAGATATCATTCTTGCTGAGGTGTGCTTCCATGGGTATCAGGTGGTCTCCTGCAACTCATCAGGCGAACTTTGAGGCTATCCCTGCCTAGGGACATCACAGTTGAATCCAGACCTGCCCTGACAACCCTTCCCAGGCTGAGAACAATTACCTCAACTCCGACGGTTGACCAGTTTCAGCTGTACACTAGATAAACCCCAATCTACCTTGAGAAACTAATGCATTTCAGTCTGATTTGTCCCTCTTTGCTGTAGTATTTGAATGTTATAAGAACAGTTACTTTTTTTTACTGTTCATAAAATATTGTTTTATCAAGCAATCAATTTCTCGAAATTAGTTCACCACAGAGATGTAAAACTCCCATTAGAGGAAAAGTGGAACAAAGCAGTTGCATTCAGCTTATCCTTTTGTATTGATCATACATAATCTATACATCTGTGGATTCCACTCAATGCATTAAGGCCCAAATGCAATTTCTTAATGATATTAATGAAGAACACAACTTCTGTATCAAAAAAGTCATTTCTAGCCATTAATTTCCTGAGTAATAGTTTTATAAGAACACTCCCTAATCCTTAGAGGTGATCAAGCAAAGTTCAAGAATATTCACCACTGTCACTCCTGTACTGTTCATTCCTAGGATAGCTGTGTTCCCTACGTTACATCCTGCCAGCCTGCAGCACCATAGGAAAGTTCAAGTCTCATAGATAAGCTCAGTCCCCTCCTATTCGGAGAACTTGTAAACTCACTTGCAGACATGTAATCAGTTTTCTTTCTACAATCTTTCTACAAGACTCCCTTTTACAATCCACCACTACAGGAGAAAGGTTTCTCCTCACCTCAGGAGGAGAAGGGATAAGTAAGAAATGCATTTATATTACCCAGTGTGTTTACATGTCCAGATGAACTGTGAAACTTCACGTGAGCATTCACACACTAACCTATGGCCTCCATCCTTCCTTCTTGCAGTTTTGAGGACTGAGGCCAGAAGGGGTGGATTGTCTTCTGAATAACCCACAAATTTGGGCCAAAAGCTACAAAATTTGTGGTCCTTATACTATGGGGTAACATTGGTGGCAAGAGTAACACACAGGTGCTGTTGATGGCACAGTGCCAAAGAAAAGGCTACATAAATAAACCATTTAAACCCGTCAATTACATTACAGCCTTGTAATCACTCCCAGGTATCCACTATTCTATACACAGGCCATCTGGAGTCCCTTGATTCAATTACAGCCTTTATCTCACTGCCAGGTATCCATTATTCTCTGTTTAAATGACAGAAAGAAACTTGACGGCACCATTTTAGCAAAATAAAACAGTGCCATGTCCAATTTTGAAAAATTGGAGGAAGAGATCCGGAGAGAGAACATAAAAATTCAAATCTAAAGTGTTTGCTCATCATTATTGGAAATGTTTTCTGTATGTTGCATTGTGTTCTCGCAGCTCCAATATTTTTCATGTTTAGAAACTCTTTAATTCAGCTTGGAGCAAGTATACCGGAACGTGAATTGTGGATGTGTTTGCTTGGCTGCTTTTCATTTTGTTTGTAAATGATAACACGCAGAGATGAAAACCACATTAAAAACTGGTAATCTATTCTCCAGTGCAGATTTGCTGCATCTTTTTCATGATGGATATTGAATTTCATCAGAATTTGATCTCAGTTAGCAACTCAATTCTAATGCCATGCAATTTCTATTCGGAATAATGCTCCTGAGAGCCTGTTAACAACTATTAAAATGGCAATATTACAGCTTAAAATTTAAGAAAATACGTTATTTTAATAACAGTAATATTTAAATGTTTTCTCTAGTGTTATATAAAGTTAAGTACACAATATCATTCAGACTCGGTTAGTAATCAAGTAAAATTTTCCTCTTGTGATCTTCATAAAATGTGTTTTATCATTTGGTTTAGAAATGACATGCAGTATAAAATTGGGTGTTCAGTATGTCGCTGAACTATTCCGACCTGGTGGTCACTGGGTTGATCCTTAGTGTGTGCTCTCTTAGCTTATACACCATGGGTCATTTGGGATCATTGCCTACTCTCGGTGAAAATAAATCGGTCAGAGAAGCCAATTCTGATCACTGTGACAACCCAGTTTGGAAAATGTGCAAGTGCCACATGGGAACAGGATTAGATTTTGCTACAGTAACTTCCATGGTTTAAAAAAGCACACCCTGTTAAAACTAATGCGTTAGTAATGACTTTCTAGGTGAGAACAGCTTCCGAACTCTCAAACTCTACCATCTAGAAGGACAAAGGCAGCAGATACAATTAAACAGCACCACCTGCAAGTTCCCTTCCAAGCCACTCACCGTGCAGACTTGGAAATATATCGCTGTTCCTTCGATATTGCTGGGTCAAATCCTAGAATTTCCTCCCTAACGACACTGTGGGTCTACCTACATGACATGGACTGCAGCATTTCAAGAAGGTAGTTCACCACCACTCAAGGGCAACTAGGAATGGGCAACAACTGCTGGCCCAGCAAGCGAAGCCCATATCCATGAATGAATTAAAAAGAAGGATCCCAGTACCCATGGAAGCATAGCTCAGAATAAGTGCTTGGAATCAAGAAGGGGGCAGAAATAGCATTTGCAAAAGCAAGCAGTATTTAAAAACTGTTGTCATATGTTGTCATAATAATAATCATTTTTAATTTCACAGTTGACAAGTAGCATGGATGATGCAAGGACACTGAACGAATTTAATAAACACCCAGTTGTAGTCAAGGTTAGATGACAGGGATGGTATTCTGGCATGCTGAGATCTAATGCACTTCATCTAAACCAAACTTCTGACCTAATCTGCACTAGGCCTACAACATGGTGAAGCCTCCTTCATTTCTCAAGCAGAATGGTGCTAATATAAATAATTCTGAACTTTTGCAAAAATAGACATAACACACACATTACCACCTTTAGCAGGCAACTTTATAATCATAAAGTCTTATTTCAGTGGAATCCTCTTTATTTGAGAAGGAATGAATATGGTAACTACTTATCAATCTTGAAATATCTGTTTGACTTAATATCTGTTGAGAGTATATTCTGAATTGTCAGGTTTTCAAGTAATTCCCCCTCCATCAGGTACTGACTGATTTCCACCTCTTCTCCTAGGTGGTGTGGTGGAAGCGTACCCTCCCTCAGACAGTGTGACCAATCTTACCATCGACATGCTCATAGAACCAACAGGAGAGGTATCGATGGTTTCTTGTGGGGATCAGATCCATTCCAAAAGCCCACTGGAATGTTGGGGCACCACCGTGCCACAATGCTCTGTGGATCCAGGCAACCTACACTCAGTGTGTGTAAAGATCGCTGAGGCCTGTAAATGCAGAGGAATCATAGGCTTCTTCTCAATTGACCTGGCGACCTTCATACATCCACTTACAATGGAGCAGCAGGTGAGATGGACACAAATTGAAGTTCATTTATCAGACCGACTAATAAAGATCCAGATCCCTTGGTGACTATGAAAAAAAGGAGATTATAAAAAATAATGTGAAGCGTTGCAAACATATCAGCTGTAAAATTCACCAAATAAGCTAATCCATCTTCTCAGGTCAGTGAACTGATTGCAAATTCAAAGGGCTGGCTTTTGTCGTGTGGGATGTACATTAATATCATAAGTATTATTTTAATTAATTAAATTGTGTTTTATTAGTGCTGTTTTACATTTATATTTGACTGTGATAAGTTAGCTCAATACTCATTTAAAGATTCATTCTAACAGGTCTATAATAATTATAGTGGCTCTTGATCCAGAAGAATAGTTTAACTGAGTGGAAAATAGCTTACTTTGCCCCTAAAATACTATTCTCTTGAATTAGAGAGTAATAGATAAGTGAGATTGATCACAAAGTTATTCCCAGATCTGGTGCTGTTTTAGGCTCAACTGAAATGTAGAGCTGTTACATTTAGTTTGTGGTACAAAGAGAAAAGTCAAAGTATTTGGTTGATACCATAAACCATAAGAAGGAAGCTTGTTTACAGCTGGTACCTGAACTTGAGTATTCAAGATTTCACATCATTCTCTGCTCTGTTGTTACTTGTTTTTACAACGTTTTAACTCTGTGTGGGGATGGTGTTAACTGTTTTGTTTTAGATACTGTCAGTTATGACTGCACAATTAATGATTGTCATTTCACTTGTTGAGAAATGAGGGTGGATCTTAATCAGCTTTAAATAGGTTAATGCCTTTGTAACAGTAAAACACGGTGGCTAGAAATATTTAGATATGAATTTCACTGATACAAAGTTCTGCTACATAGTATGAAATTGTTTGCAGAGCTCTTGCAGTGGTGGGTGTGGGGACCACACACAGAAGCACTAACCACACTGATCAGAAGATCAATTTGTGGTGTTGAATGAGGTACTGGCTGAGGCAGCAAATTATAAGTTAGAATTGGCTCCATCAATCATGATTCCTTCTGTATTTCTTATTTTCATCACACTGTGTGTGGGGTCCCATGTGTGTGCTGTGCCCTCAACTTTTTACAATTTATATTAATAATTTGGATGAGGAGGTCGAAGGCATGGTGGCCAAATTTGCAGATGACACAAAGATAGGTAGGAAAGTGTAATGTGAAGATGACATAACAAGGATGCAGACCGATTATAAGTAGAAGGAGACAAAAAGTTGAAACTTTTTATTTTGCAATCATCAGAATTAGGACTCAAGAAACAGACTTGATAAAAGAGACATCATTTTATATAACATGAGAAAACAGTGTTGATTGTTTGGACCATCATTGACGCGGTGATGCAGCAACAACAGTTACATGTCAATCTTGCAATCTTCCGTGCTCACAAGTCTCAGAAAATTATATCCACCATTATATGTGATTCTGCTATTGAAATTCATTTATTAAAACTATGTGCTACTAGTTGCACCAGAACCCAATTTAATATCATCAGTAGGGCTTGCAGTATGACGCATTTGTATGTACTAGAAGTTGCATATATAAATACATGTGACTCAGTTTGATAGGTAAAAGGAATTAGTACGCAGTTTCGACCTTTTTCAATTAAAAAAATCATGGAGACAGTCAATCGCTGCTGCATCCCCATGGCAATACCCTGAGTCTTCCGGGCTGGTCTGAGAATTTACCTTGGCGGGTAACTGCCCTCGCTAAATCTCTGACCAGTGATGGCCCAACCACGCAGCACTCTCTTCTCATGCTGAATAAAAGGATGTCCCCTTGTTCAAATATGTTTCTTGTGTGCTACCATCACCTTCGCAGGGTAACTAGAGATGGGAAATAAATGCTGGCCCAGCCAGTGACACCCACATCCCATTGAATGAATAAGTGCACGACAATGAATGAGTGCATGGCAAAAAAAAACTTCAACTTCTGGTCTCTTTTTATCAACATTGATTGTTTTGTACTACCAAGAAATTATTATACATAGGCTTAGTGAGTGGACAAAAATCTGGGAGATGGGAATATAATGTGGGAAAACGTGAAGTTGTTTATTCTGGCAGGAATAATTTTTCAAAAAACAAAGTATTATTTGAATGGAGAATGAGTGCATAATTCCAAGATGTGGAGGTGTTCTGGTGCATGAGTCACAAAAAAATTAGTTTGCAGTACAGCAAGTGATTAAGAAGGATAATGGAATACTAACTTTTATTGCAAGAGAAATTGAGAGGAATTGAATTTTTGATTTCCGTAATTCATGAAGGATATAAATGTGTTGGAAGCAGTTTAGTGGAGGTTGATACTTGGAAAAAGCAGGTTGTCTTATGAGGAAAGATTGTTTTCACTGGAGTTTAGAAGAGCAAGAGATGATTTGATTGAGATCGATAAGATCCTGAATGATCTTGGTTTTGTCTTGTTGGAAAGTCCAGAACTAGGGGACACTGTTTTAAAATAAAGAGTTACCCTTTTAGGATAGAGATGGGGGGATTTTTCTTTGTTCAGAGGGCTGTGCCACTTTGAAACCCTCTGCCTCAAAAGGAGGTGGGACCACCTAACAGTTTTAAAGTGGAGGTAGATTTTTGTTAGGCAAGGGAATCAAAGTTTGTTCCTGTGAAACATATCAGGATGTTTTATCTTATTAAAGGTGCTCTGTAAATGCAAGTTATGGTATAAAGGAAGCAATTAATGATTGTAATGACAGGTTGGAATGGGTATAATTTCATCTTCAATACTTGGCAGTAATCTAGTGAGGTGAATCACTCAAGTGCCTGTTGCCAATCAGTTGAATGAAAATGCTGGGTGATCCACTCCACCATTATCACCTGGACAGCAGTGGTGAAAATTATCCCAAGGGATTGGAACATAATTCAGTCTGCCACGTTGTTGCCTTGTGTCGTTTGACACCAACCAGTGTGCACCATCGCCTAATAAGTCACTAACAGCTATTTGTAAGTCTATTTGAATATGAGAGGCCAAGTTTATGACAAGCAACCCATTAAAGTTTAGTGTAATTAAATAACTGGGCTTCAGAAGTAGTCACTAATAAATCCAACAGGGTAGTCAGGAGAAACTTCTTTACCCAGAGATTGGTTAGAATGTGGAACTTAAACACCACAGGGAACAGGCAAGGCAAATAGGGATAGATTGAAGTGGAAACAAAAGCAGAAGATGCTGCTGGAGAAACTCGGGAGGTCTGGCAGTATCTTGGAGAACAAAACACAGCTAACGTTTCAAGTCTGGTGACCTTTTGTTAGAATGTTTTGACAAAGTGTCACTGGATTCACAATGTTTACTCGCTCTCTTGACAGATACAACCAGACCTGCTGAGTTTCTGCAGCACTTTCTGTTTTTGTTTCAGATTTTAGCTTCCACAGTTCTTTGATTTTGTTTTAGATTGAAACAGAAGCTAGTTAAACATGGGAAGCAGAAAAAACTAATAAGGTACATTGGGGTTAGATAAAGAAGGAATGGCAAGAGGCTTTTGTGGAGGATAAACAGCATTAATCTTTTGGGCCAAATGGCCTGTTTCTGTACTGCCAACACCTTGTAACATCCCTAACCTCCCTTCTACAACTTTTACCCCTTTTGATGTCAAGTCTACCATTGCCAGATTACTACTACCTCACTTATTTCATATTCTTTCCAATTCATTTAATTCTTAATGTCGTCCTGCACCGTGAGCCTTGACACTTCATCCAGATTTCTTGGTTGAAGATAAAACTATAATTTAAAATCCCACATTATTAAATGTATGTAACACAAATATGCAGGGAATTTTAAAAAGCATGCATTTTAAACATTTGAATCATAATTAGAAGCTGCTTCAGCCAACTGTGATACCTGCTGATAAATGGTGCCTGCCTCACTACAGAGTCTGAATGTATAGCTTCTGTGTCAGAATAGGGATGCAAACCAAGATTTGGTGATGACCAAGTGCTTTAACTTGGGTCCCCTTCTCTGTAACAGAAGCTAACCCCTCAGCAAGCACTACGTTTAACTGCAAGGAGCACTGAATGAAATTTGAAATGACTTTAGTATTTGCTCAACTTTAGATTGCTGTCATTTCTTTTGTCAGACAGCCTTTTGGGCTATTGAATTGTTTTATTTTTTGTTATTCCTGAATGGGAGAATATGGAGGTAACTGATCCTGCTCTGTAGCATGAGGAAAAGTGAGGCCCAGCAAGATTCCTCTGATTCCTAATACCCGATGAACTATTTGATCCTTGGTATTGCATCAGTAACTCTGTTTGAGCTCATTAACAATTGTTGTTATGTATATAGCACACTGTTGGGTCTCTACATACCACATTCACCACACAGTGCTGCAGTACATAACTACAGAGATCTCATACAGCTTAATAATGTAATTAAATATAATTATACCGTAACTAGAATATGATAATTGAAAATGTAACTCATTTACCATATTCTTTTCATAAACTAGGGTTTTAATGATTCTGAGATGATATAACCTAAATGCATTCATGCAAAAGTAGTCGTGGAATATAGTTCCTGCAAGATGAAGCTTTTTTATGTTCTGCATATTGACCAGTAGGTGGCAGTCTACATGGGCCTGTTCATTGAACACTATCTGTGGCACTGGTCTGGAAAATTAGACATTTTCACACTTATACACAAATCTTTAAAAAAAAAATCCCTTTCCCTATTTTTCAGATATGATCTACTAACACTTGTGAGTTTCTTTGCCTTCAGGCCAAGCAAAAATAAATAATAATGTAAAGCAAACATACTGGGCAACTAACAACCTCCCCAACCACCCACCCCATCTCAAATTCCTGTTGCAGCTTTTAATGTTTGTTTTTATTGATACCACAATAGCCTTCATGCCTCTCTTCTTACACCATCCCACCCCATTCAAACTCCTCCGTGTGCACTACCTCCTCCCACATGATCACTGTGTCAAAGTTAGCATTTATTGATTCATTACTAATCCTACTGGTTTTTCCTAAGGATCACAAAAC